TGTCAAACATCACGGACACTATCTGTTCTTTATTTTCTGGACTCTTTGTGGGATTTGACACTGTTACTCATCCACTCAACACTTGAAATGCTCTTCACCTTTGACTTGTGTGTCCTCCTCTCACTGGGATCTCCTCAGCCCCCTCTGTAGGCCCCTCCTCCTCTCCGTGCCTTTGGACTGGTGTCCGCTCGGGGGCATTCTCTGTGGCCTGCTCTTCAGGGCTCCTCGCGCTCTCCCTAGGGGAAGGGACTCAGATCCATGGCTTAAACGCCCACCTGTTCTTTAATGACACCCACATATATATTTATTACCTAGACCCTTCTCTTGAATTCCTCTCTCAGAAACCCAACTGCCAACTGGATCTCACCATTTAGATGTCTTATACTTCAAATTTTCAACAAGTTCAAATCAAATTCCTTTAGACACTAAGCTCAATGACACTGGAGAGAGAACTCAACAACAGACCCTACTTAAACACACACATTTAATATATGACAGAGGAGGCTTCCAACTCATTATACATAAATGGTATTTGGGCTATTTGAAAACTAATCAGTTTAGCTCCTTACCTTAGAGCAGAAATCATAATAAATTACACCAATAAAAAATATAATTAATATAAAAATTCAAACCATAAAACACAAGAAACAATTTTGCTGTGAGCCTAAAACTGATCTAAAAAGTAAATTCTAATTAAAAAGAAAGACACAAAATATAAGTATATATTTATCAGATCTCTGAAGAGAGGCAAAGGATCTCTAAAGCAATGGAAGAAATAAGAAAGAAAAGTTCAGAATCAACAACCTAGATATTTAACCTCATAAACAAACACATATCTACAAATCAAATTAAAAGGCAAATATATTAGGAATGTATTTCAATAAATATGTAAAAGGTTAATCTCTTTAATTATAAAAAGTTCATACAAATGGATAAGAAAAATACTAAGACCCCAATAGTTAAATGGACAAGGAACACAAATACACAAAAGAGGGAAATGTAAATGGTCAGCTCATGAGAAAACTGTTCAACCTCAGTGATAATCAAAGAAGTCAAAATTGAAACAAAGAGCTATCATTGCTGCCCTTCAAACGAGCACAGATGCCTGTATTCAACTACTAGTGGGCTGTCTCCCTGCACTCCGACTCGCCCTCTCAGTCCACTCTGCACTGCAGATGTCTAACACACAAATCACCACATGTCAGTCCCCTGCCTCACATTTCTTTAAAGGCCCCACGATGATAACCAGGAGAAAGTCCCAGCAATGCCACCTGGCACCTCTCGCTGTCTGACCCCTTTCTAGCCTCATCTCCCACCACTTCTCACACACACACCTAAGTTCCAGTCATAGGGAACCTGTGTGGTCGTTTCCAGACCTATTTCACATTTTGGTGCCTTCACCTGTGCTGATATGAGTTCTGGAAGACCAACCTTCATCCTCATCCTATTCCTTCAGGAAGCCTTCCCTGATGCTGCCAGTCTCCTTCGATGTCCTTCTTCATGTCCCCATGGCACCCTTCATTCCAGTGTCACAGCACCGAGCACACGACATCATGATCACTCACATATTTGTGTTTCTCCTTCACTGGACTAGGAGCTTCTCAGGGGAGTTTTATTCATCTGTAGAGCCCCAGCACTGTACCCAGAGCCAAGCACGTATGAGTAAGTATGCAGGAATGAGTGAATGAATGATGCATGAGCAGGGCCAGGAGCAAGCTGAAGTGAGAATGGGCCAGGTGAGGGCGGGTACCTTACCTCCCGAAGGGCATTCTGGGCTGCACAGCACCAAGCCCAACTCACGAGGGAGGCCTCTTTCTGATCTGACAGAGGCAGGAAGCTCAGAATATATGTGAGCATCTGAGGGAAAAAGAATGGGCATTGGGGGCTGTTAGTGCTGGTGGGGGCCTTTGGAACCTTCTCTAGCTGATAGCACAGTAGGTCAGAGGGGACTAGAGCACTGGCTTCTAGTTCATCTTGGATCCTAAGCTTCATGGAGTCTTCACTTCCCCTCTCCAGCCGCCAGGTATCTTTACTGGGAACGAACCTCTCCTGAGCACCACCTGGATGCAGGCTTGCTCTGACTGATAAAAATCAAACTTCCTGCTCAAGTTGGTAAAAAGAACCTGGGCATTGGGACCAGATAAACCTAGTTTAGATCCTTATTCTCTCAAGTGACCTCTCCGAGCCTTATTTTCCTTATCTATAAAAAGACAATTGTAGTGAGATTTAAATGGGTTGTTGTGACAATTAAATAACATGGTGAAGTGTCTGGCATACGATCTAGAACACAGCAAGTCAGGTGTTCCTTCTCTGATCTTCAGGAAGTTACACTGGGACCGCACTCTTTTCCCATCCTCTTCACTGCCAACTAGGCTACTCAGCTGACTGTTAAGATTCTCAGCAAGAAAGTCTTAACAGCCTGGTAGGCTTAGACTCTCACTCCACCTACGCTCTGTGAGGCTGGGGGTGCGTGGGAGTGGAGGCCCTATTAGGGACTGGGGAAGGGAGTTGCCTGTGAGACCAGGAATTATCTGATATTAACTATTCTTTTCTTCTGGAATCTTCCCTCCTTGACTTCTGTGACACTGTGTTTTCTAGGGCTCCACTCACCACTCCAACTGCCCTGTTTCTGGATTCTTCTGTGGCTCCCAGGGTTCAGACCTGGGCCTTTCAGTCTGTTACTTTCTAGGATAATAAATTCATTTGCATGGCTTTAACAGTTACCTCTATAGGAATAACCAGCAATTCAATATGGACATATTGTTTTATCATTCATGTGCTAGTTTAGTATTGCCAACTGTCCACAGGATTCTTCATCCAAATGTTTTACCATCACCTTCATCTCAACCTCAGTCCAAAGCAGCCCCTCCTCCCAACTTTCCAGCCCCTGAGCTTCAATGCCAACAGTGCATCTCACCTGATGATCCTGATAATACTGTGTACTCTTCATGCTCTTCTGTCCCTTGCTCTCAGATATAGGTGTAAAGCACAGGCTTTAGGCCAGGCTAACTTAGACTCATTCAAATCCCAGCTCCACAAATTCCTAGCTGTGTGACCTCAGGCAAGGTACTTGAACTCTCTGAGCCTCAGTTTCCACACCTGTAAAATGGGGATATTAAAAATCTAGATCATAGTCCTATGATGGGGAATAAGTTATATATACATAATATAATTTTTATATATATTTATATTTAATAGATATAATATGCTTCACATCTAGTAGGTTGTCCATAAATGGTTCCTGGATTGCTGTTACTAACATTTCTGCCTTTGAAAACTTACCACCTTAGTAGCCCAGATCTTCATCACCCCTGCCTTCATTCCTTCCACAATTTCCCACCTGATCTCCCTGCATCCAGGCTCATCCTTGCTAATCATTCCTCACAATGCAACAAGGTTAATTTTCCTAAAACACAGCTTTCAGTCTCAGTGCACTCCTGATGAAAACCTTCAGGGTTTCCCAGTCCCCTCAAGACAAAATCTCTTCTCCTGGGTCAGCATTGCCAGGCCTCCATGCTTGACTGGACCCCTGATTCCAGAGCTTCCATAATCCAGTCTCCTCACTGTCCTACAAACACAGCATGTCTATTTCCTTATCTCCTTTTGCCTATGTGGACCTTTTTCCCAGTCCACTCTGATCTCTTCTTTCCTTCTCTGATCCCTAGTACACAGAAGGTACTCAGTCAATACTTACTGGATTGCATTAAGTAAGGATGGACAGTCTTTCACCTCTATTTTCACCAAAGGTTTGCTCAAGGAAGGGGTGGGAAGATAAAGCAGATCATTACTGAGAGGAGAATGACTGGGGAGAACAGCCTCTGGACCAGGGAGGCTAGGCATGGGCAAGAGAACACCGATGGGGACTGGGACTGATCACGCCCCTATCCCCAAGGGGAGGCAGGAAAACCTGACTGAGCCGAGGTAAGATAGTGGCCATCCTGTCTTCTGGGGCTCAGCAGTCAATCCAAGGAGCAAAGGGAGGGCAACAAACCTGTCCTCCCTGAGGGGAGGAAGCATGATTCTTTGAGCTGAGAAGCGGGGAGGCCTTTCTAGAGGGACCAGAAGAAGCAGTGATAAGGGTGGAGTGGCCACCCAACGAACCCCATCCCAAGGAGCTACTAGAGATAAGACTGGTCATCTCTGAGATCTATGGGGATGGAACAGATATCCTCCGGGGCCAAAGGGGAGAAGGATGCCATCGCAGGGGGCTCACTGGGGTTGAAGCAGTCCTGTATTTGCTAAGGGAAAGGAGCACCATTCCAAGGGCTGATGGGGAAAGGGTGGCCTGTCTCCCTTGGCTGAGGGAGGGGGTTGCCAGCTCTCAGGGGAAAAGGGATGAAGAGACCATCCCAAGAGGCCACTGGGGACAAAACTTATCATCTCTCTCTGGATAACAGCGGCAGAGTGGTCTTGCTCCAGGCTAAGAAGAGGGAGCAAACGTCCCATGGGGTGAAGGAAGCAGGGATGGCCATCACTAGGGGCCGAGGGAGCGGGGAGCAGGCCTGTCCCCGGTGAGGGAACTCAGAGACCATGCCCGAAGTTGATGGGAGGGGGCATTCTGTTTTCCACCGCCAGGGGAAGGGGCAGCCGTCTCTCGGGGAGGAGGGAATAGAGCGACCATTCCAAGGGGCCAATGGGGATAAGATCGGTTTAACCTTCGGGGATGATGGGATGGAGCGGACATCTTCCAGAGCTGAGGGGGAGGGGCGGCCATCTCAAGAGATGCAGGGTAGGCAGAGGCCCTGTCCTCGCTGAGGTGACAGAGCGGCCATCTCTTGGGGCCGATGGGGAAGGAGAGGATGGTCGCCCAAGGTAAGGGGATGGGGTGGCCCCAAGGCGGGGCCGTTACCCATAGCCAGCAGGTCCTTGGATCTCCCGGGCTGGTTGTTTCCGCCAGACGGGCGGGGCCCAGGCGAGCTGTCTGACAGCCGCTCCCCACAGCCTGGGACCCCGAGGGCGGGGCCTGTCCCGAGCTAGGCCTGAGGGCGGCCTCCTCTCACCTCCAGGGCAGAGATTCAGCCATCGCATCCCTGCCGCCTCCGCCCCCGCGCAAGGCTTTCTGGGAAGTGAAGTCCTGGGAAGGAAGTGGATTTCCCACTTCCGTCCCAGTTGCTTACGATTTGGGTCTGCACCGGAAGTGCCTGTGCAGCAGATGTGGTCCCTACTGAGTGCTGTTTCGGTCGCTCTCCCATCTTTCCCCGGCTGGGTGTTTGCGTCGCACCATGGCGGTAAGGAGGGCGAGTAGGGCGGGGTCCGCAAGGCAAAGCATTCTCGGGGCGGGAGACTGAAAACAGAGGAAGGACATCAAGGGCAGTGGGTCGGCCAGAGGGAGGTGCCATCCGGTGGCTGGACCGTACTAGATTAAGGCGGGGAGTGGAGAGGCGCAGGAACGTACCAGAGCTGGTGCCGGAGAGGGGTGGGCGTCAGTACCAGACAGTGTCAGGACTAGCTGGAGATCTGAGGGGCTTGAGGCGGGGTAGGCGTTAGCCCAGATCTGGTTTACTCTAGCAGAGGCCGGAGAGGGTCGCCATTCAAGCCCCCTCAGGGATCCCCTCTGAAGGGTTTGTCAGCCCAAAACTGAGCCTTATCAGAGGATTCAGGAGATACCAGCCTAGTGTTGGATTGTTCCCAGCCCGAGCAGGAGGCGGTCATTGCTGGGTGTGCTGGAAAGATGCTGTCAGCCCTAAGCAGGATGGTTTGGAGGAGGGGTGGACATCCCAAGAATTGTGCTAGCTTTGAGCACCACGGAGACTCGGCTGAGGTGCAGATGAAACTCTGTAGCTAACCGGAATGGTGGGGAGGATAAGGAAGACCCTGGCTGATGAGGGTTCTGACAGCATCTCGTCATCTCTCTTCAGCCCAAGGGCAAAGTGGGCACGAGAGGGAAGAAGCAGATATTTGAGGAGAACAAAGAGACCTTGAAGTTCTACCTGCGAATCATACTGGGGGCCAATGTAAGTGCCTCCCTCCTTGCTTCTGTGCCCACCCAATGTTCCATAGCCCTCAGCTCTGTTTGGTGGGGTGGAGTGGTGGCAGTGTATGACAGCTAAAGCTCCAGAAGAAAACTCCAACTAAAAGTAGATGAGAAAGGACCCTGGCACAAGAAAGTGCTGAATAGTCAAAACAAAAAACCAAAAACGAAATGAGGGTGTGAGTCTCAGATTGACTGGAGAGCCCTTCCCATCCTAAATACAGAGGGGCTTCTTTCCTGGGCTGAAATGTCGGAGGGGAGTCTGGGTATTCAGGAAGCAGACCTCTTCCCCCAACCGTATAAGAAACGACTTGTCTTCTTTCATCACCTGGCCTAATATCTTGGTCAGAGTCGAGGGAGGTCCATGGTTTAGTAAGCTTTTTAGATTTCTTTTTCATTAAAAATTTCATTATTTATTTATTTATTTATGGCTGCATTGGGTCCTTGTTGCTGTGCATGGGCTTTCTCTAGTTGTGGCAAGTGGGGGCTACTCTTCGTTGCAGTGCGCGGGCTTCTCATCGCGGTGGCTCCTCTTGTGGAGCACGGGCTCTAGGCACGTGGGCTTCAGTAGTTGTGGTGTATGGGCCTAGTTGCTCCGCAGCATGTGGGATCCTCCCAGACCAGGGATCGAACCAGTGTCCCCTGCATTGGCAGGCGGATTCCTAACCACTGTGCCACCAGGGAAGTCCCTAGTAAGCTTTCGATCACAGCCTGATCCTGTGTCTGCTTACAGGCCATTTACTGTCTTGTCACCCTGGTCTTCTTCTACTCATCTGCTTCATTTTGGGCCTGGGTAAGTGTCCTGCATCCTGGGAAGTGGGTAAGCACATAGGGTCAGTGGCTGGCCTTTGATACCCCCATTCTTGTTCGGCAGATGGCCCTGGGCTTTAGTCTGGCAGTATACGGAGCCAGCTACCACTCTATGAGCTCGATGGCAAGGGCAGCCTTCTCTGAGGATGGGGCCCTGATGGATGGTGGAATGGATCTCAACATGGAGCAGGGCATGGCAGAGTGAGTGTCCCCCGCTGTCAGCCCAGGTGAGCGGCGCCAGGGCTGGGGTGCTGGGGCCCAAGACCCACAGCTACCTGTGACTTGAAGAGGGTGGAAGGGAGTTGAACTAGGGCCCATCTATTATTTTTTATTTTTATTTTTTTGCGGTACGCGGGTCTCTCACTGTTGTGGCCTCTCCCGTTGCGGAGCACAGGCTCCGGATGCGCAGGCTCAGCGGCCATGGCTCACGGGCCCAGCCGCTCCGCGGCATGTGGGATCTTCCCGGACCTGGGCACGAACCCGTGTCCCCTGCATCGGCAGGCGGACTCTCAACCACTGCGCCACCAGGGAAGCCCCTGTTTTATTTAATTAAAAAAAAAAAAATTTTTTTTTTGGCTGTTCTGTGCGGCTTGTGGGATCTTAGTTCCCCGACCAGGGATCGAACCTGGGCCCTCAGCAGTGAAAGCACGGAGGCCTAACCACTGGACCGCCAGGGAATTCTCCGTCCACTGTTTTTGGCCGTTGCAGCCTCCCTTCTATCCACAGGCACCTTAAAGATGTGATCCTACTGACAGCTATTGTGCAGGTGCTCAGCTGCTTCTCCCTCTACATCTGGTCCTTCTGGCTTCTGGTACGTGGGTCGTGGGGCTCCCAACGAGGAGCTGGGGCAGCTACCCCTTCTCTTCTTTCATTTCCTGCACCTGGCTTCAAGCTCCCTTTTCTCTCCTAGGCGCCGGGGAGAGCCCTTTACCTCCTGTGGGTCAATGTACTGGGCCCTTGGTTTACAGCAGACAGTGGCGCCCCAGCACCAGAGCACAACGAGAAACGGCAGCGCCGACAGGAGCGGCGGCAGATGAAGCGGTTATAGCCACTGACGTTGTGGCTACAGGTTTCTGGGCCCCGGGTGGCTCTATCAATCAGGCTACATGGCCTCCATGCCAGGAGCAATGAGGGCCTAGCCCAAGGGCCAAAGGTAGTCTAAGGTATAGGATTGGTGAATAAATGGCTTACAATGTGGATAATGGCTGTGTGGGTGATAGAGATAAGGCAGGAACAGCCAGTCCTTTGGTATTTTACTTCTGCTACAGGCACAGTGTGGTGGGTACTTTGAAAGAAGAAAAAGGCTCTTGGATTGGCTAGGAAAACTTTATTATGCTCCACGTGTCCAGGGAGCTCATACATGCACACGCACACTCACACAGGCACGCACAGCTAATACTGCTCACGGCACTGGCCACGGGCCATTCTCTCTTCTGAGAATGCAGCCACTGGCCCTCGAGTTGAGAAGAGGCCCAGAATTGTGCTGTGGTCCCTCCTCACCATAGTCTCCTGCACTGCAGGCTGGGGCCCAGATAGATAGGTATTGTGGAGGCAGCACCTTCACACTTCCAGGCCAGGACCCTTGCTCAGTCCTAGCGCCTGTACCAGGTCCTCTCCGAGCCCGCTCTTCAACGTCCGTCTCACTGCAAGGACAGAGCAGGGTTGGAGGGGGTTGATGGAGTTAAGGTGGGCAGTGGGTGTGGGGGGAATACTCACAAGACTTGCGGTTGCCACGGGAACGCTTGCGTTCCCGAGCAGCTGAGGCACGAGGACTGCTCTTGGTCACTGACTGCACCAGCAGGTCCATGATCTCATCTGAAGTGTCACTGGGTAAACTGGAGCCTGGAGGTTCTTCTGGGGGTACAGTGCAGGGCCCCACTGTTGTGGGCATGACTGGGGAGCTGCTCTGGACCATGCCTGAGGGAGCCAGATAGGGAGGTGAGGCCAAAGCGGCCCCAGAGCCCACTGCCCCCAGCGGCCGTAGGTCCCACCTCTGCTGCGGCGGCCATGTGTGGTGTCCTCAGGCTTGCTGGCCAGCAGACTCTTCATGCTGGCATGACTGTCGGCATCACCCTCTCCTGGCCCACTGCTCACAGCCACTGGGATAGATGGGTTGCTGGGGGTTTCCCCAGCTGCCACACCTGAGAACTTCTCTGTCTGGAGAGAAGAAAGGGGTGGGTTGGGAGTAGAGGAAGAAAACCATGGGGGTGGCAGTCAAGACCCGGAAGGGACACCCACCTCGGTGATCATGCGTCCCCGGGTCTTGTTGCGCTCACGGTATGTGGCCCGCTTCTGCTGCTGCTGCAGCACCCGGTCCCGGCAAGTCCGATACTCCAGTGCGAACTCCCGCAGCGTGTGGCAGAACTGCATGATGCGCGCCTCACGGGCTGCCTCCGCTGTGTATCCCAGGTACAGCAGGAAGGCGTGGAACCTAGCCAGGTTGGGGTGGGGAGGAGTGGTGAGTCCTGCTTGGGGTTTGAGGGATGGTGGTGGCAGTCCTACCTCTCTCTGGCCCACGCCCCCACCTGTTGCAGACACGGCGGTGCACGACCCTCAGCATGGCAACACGGCGGGTACAGTGGGCCAGGAAGTGGGTGAGGCGGGCACGCAGGGTTGGAGCCAGCTCGTGCTTGGACAAGCTCCGCAGGCTCTCTTCGGCTGCCCGGCTCCGGCGCTCCAGCTGCCCCAGGTTCTCAGTCAGCTGCTCAAAGTCCACCTGGAAAAGCAGGGAGTACACATGCTGTCCCCCCACAGAAAGACACCACCTGAGCTGCCTCTGTGCTGGGATGACTAGCCTGGGCCCTGAGGACACAGCCGAGATCCGGCCCCTGCCCTCCAAAAGCTCACAGTCTGATGCAAGAGACAGACAAGTCCATCTGATGCAGTGGAGAAGGGAGAAGGTTTCCTGGGATAAGTGGCAGCTAAACAGACCTAAAGACAGAGTAGGTGTAGCCATACCAATAGAAGAAAGAGTTTCTGCTAGAGGACACAGCCCACGTGCATGCCTGTAGCCTAAGCAAGCCCTGGCCCAGCAGCCCACTTAGGGAGAGAAGCAGTGCTCCCTCATGCCACGGCCAGTCTTAGTCAAGCCTCTGGCAGGTGCTGACCTTGGCACAGCGGATCAGGGCAGGAATTTCTGAGTAGAGGTCAGAGGAATCAGGCCGGGTCTGGAGCACCAGGGAGCAGAGATGATGCAGCAGTGACTGTCGGCGCACCGTGTCTTTCACCTCTGACACCTTCTCCAGGTAGCTCAGCTCAAAGCCGCTGCTCTGAAAGGACCCCGTCTGAGCCTGAGCCTGAGGCTGGCTGGCTCCAGAGCCCCGGGCCCCGACCTCATGTGCTCTCAGCTCACCTGGGAGCCGTTGA